GCACGCGCGCGGGTATTTTTATCGGCGCTCAAAGGCGCCGCCGCCACGCGTGTATCAAGCGCGCGCCAGGACGCAGGGAGGTCGCTAGCGCTGCGGGTGGCGGCACAAATACGCTTCGAGCGCTGTTGTAGGTAGCCCAATGTCTAAGATCGACTTGAGAATGTGGATGTAATTGGATGGATGGATTTATCGGGGCATAACACGCTTTGGTTTCCACCCCAATTGGACGTGTCACGTAACGACTTTCAAGAGAATTTTTAACTTTAATGGTGCTACAACAACACACGTTATGATATTATTTATAACATTTGTAATATTAAAACTGTAGCAGAACTCGTGAGAAAATTTTTGACAATTAAACCCCATATTTTTGCGATGAGCGACGAGTTTGTTCATTTGGAGCATCACTTCAATGGCCCAACGACTTTTATAAACAGTATATGCAAACCTGCTAAATTTTTTGCATGGCTGGGAATTCCTCTTGCTCAACCCTTTTGTCCTCATTTGGCAAGCACTTAAAAATGTACAAGTTTTAAATGATTCTGAGAGTATCCAAGGGACATCAAGAGCAGTATACTTTAAAATACAAAGATCGGTTTTAAATTCGGTGAGTTCAGTCATATCAATCAGCGAAGTCTCATTTTGAGAACGTTCCTGGGTACTGCTTAGGCGCTAGTTTTGTTCTCGGAAGGACCGACAAAATGATAGATTAAAAAAATACCAATTTGTAATAAGCAAATAAAACGTAAAACGTGTAATGTCAAAATTTCAGCAAATATCTTCTGAATTATTCCATAACTTCCTCTAAACTAAGTCTATAAGTATGTAGAGTATACATCACTAAAGTGGAGCAAAAACATAGCATAGATTTTCTCCTATTATTTGTAACATTTATTATTTTAAAATATGTTTATTTAAAACACTATGTGAAAGAAATTTGAGGTTTCCCCTCAACCAAATTTCTTATTTTTTCCGGTAAAGGAAAGATAGTTGGCTCTTATGAGCTCTCGCATGCCTTTATATACAAGTTTTACATTATAAACACTACATTTTAATAAAATCGTCAAATTAATACAATAAACGCCTATCTGCCTTCATTTGCTTATATGTTGTTTAGTTGTGTCAAGAAGGTTGTGGTCTAGCGCGAGTAAGCATGTATGAGTGTAATGTTGTAGTTAGTTCGTTTTTGTAAGTTCGAATATTGAGTGTTTAAAATTTAAAGATTACTTAGTATATATAAACGCAATGCCCAGCAATCGTTCGAAACGTGTGTCACTTTTCAAAACAGAAGTGATTGTAATTACAAATGATGTATTACGCTCTTTAATTAAAGTAGACAGTATGATTTTCTCATATAGTCCACTACAACATACATGTTCAGATCTTGGTAAATACAAAATACATCAATACCATTTTCAGAAACATGTTTAACTCTATGTTCACAGTAAATAGTGATTGTATGATTCCAGAATTTGTAAACCTTCCTCGTTTCACTAGACTTACAGAATATATACTAAACGACATGAAACAATTTTTCAGATGTTTTTGTTTTCCGCAGAGTGCATATATTGCATTTTATGTCGTCAGTTTGCGACATTTTTTCTTTTATATGAGAGTTAACCTAGGATTAATTACATCACAAACTATGTTGCACAACTTTTAATATTGCACAATCGCGTGCCAAACTCTCTTCATCAAACTGTTTGAAGCACATTTCATCTATTATCTAGTACTATGTATTTTCTAAAACCTACTTTATACGTAAAATTGAACATTTTGTAGCAAATGTAGCCGAAATGAGCTTATTAATTCTGAATCTATTTGTCTTATGGCATTCAACAACTCTCGTTGCTACAGAAACAATTATTAGTAGTTTCTATAGTTTTAAAAACTTTCATTTTCAAATACTACTAAGTATTGTACGTAGTAAGTACGTAGTTTTCCCAATTCTTTAATATCCGATCCACTAATAGTTAACTTGAAAAGGGGATTTCAAAACATCATAAAGGAGCAAAACTTCAATTCATTATTTTTCGTTGTTTTCAGATGAACGTCTTGACTTTGAGCTCAATTTTTATATTTATCGTACTTTGTTGTCGAACCAACATGTGACAAAAAATTCAGTTTATCTTGAAGTGTTCTAATACTTCAAAAATCAGCCATCCATGCCAACACTCAATAAAACACTGTAAGCTGAAGTTGATTAAATCGTAACTGTTATGCACCTAGAGAACGAATCTGAACGAAGGACAAAGGAATATGCGGGTATTGAACTCCTTGGGCGATCGTTTTGTAATCCAATCCGGTCTTACAGTGGTTTCGTTTGACAGAAGATTTATTTCTTGTTAGAGGATCGCACGTTTACATCAATCTCATTATCACCTCATTATTGCGAGGACCAGCATACCGATTTTATTACCTTTCGTCACACCAACTAAATTTATTACGGTAGAATGATTTAACAAGGGTATATCTTCAACACATTGGAATTGTGGCTAAGTGTGAGGGCGCAGGGTCTACGCGTGTAGATGTGCATTCGTGATTATTTTATTTTCGTTTTACTTCCAAATGGAGACACCTGTCATAGTGTGCATATTGTACTCACCACATTCATTCTTCTATGCTTTGGCAGTATCACGTTCCGAAGGTTACACTCGAAGACCGCAAATTCGCCACGCCGCCAGTCGAAAGTTAACACGCCTCGCTGGCACTCGCGGGTCCCACATACTGCGATTACAACATCGCATTCTAGCTCTTCCTGTTCGCATAACTGACCGTGGGGGTCTTTTCTCCGGGACGCGAGGCCGCAGATGCTCGGATAGGCTTCGGTAACTCAAAGGTGCCTTATCGGGCGTGTGTGCAACTAATCGCTGAGTAATTCTCGGTCTGCGACGCGGCTCGCGGGGCGATTGTTCGAGGGCGGACGTGCGGCGGACGCGGGCGCAAGGTCTCGCGGGTATTGTTGGCGGGTCGCGCGTATCGGCGCGTAAATAACCGTATTATGCGGTCGAGAGGCGCACGTGGCCGCCCATTGAGGGCTATTAGACAGATTTCCATCGGCGGCGGCGAAGGGTGTGCCCCGCCCGGGCTGCCACACGACGCCGCTCGCCGCATGCGCTGCATCCAGGAATGCTCCTCGCGTTCCTGTCGAGACGATGCGAGGAAGGGGGCGCTCACTTCCCTGCAATGAGCACAAGACTCACAACCGTAGTGAATCCTAAGTAAGAGAGAATTTTAAGTGCTCCGAACGGTGATGTAATCTAATATGTAAAAAGTTTATGTTTGTTCGTATTTTATGCGCTGCCGTATCGTCCATCCGATTGCGATAAAAACTTTATCAACTTATTTCTTGCACTAGCGCGAAGAATATAGGCATAGTAATGGGAATGTGCGTATGTTTATCGCACATTGAAGCAAAATGGGGGCGTTGTTGATGATTTCATGAGTTTATACCGACTCAAGCGCCCCTGGACAGAAGCTCGTCTTATTTATTACTTTAACTCTATCTGGGTTTAATAAATCAAATTTCTCCAAGTGTCTTAGTGATTGCATGCCCAAACTTTAGACAGAACATTTTAACAGTAGTATACTTAGCGACCATGTCCAAACCAGGACATAGCAGAAACCCATACTAGCGAGAAAGTCTCATCTATTAAATTTTTTTCAGAGCGTACGTAAAACATGATTAACAATCACGTGGCCAGTTGCGTGTGAAGTGTAATACATTGCAATAGCGAAGCATTGCCGAGTCCACTAGTTCTGTATAATTAGGGCACAGATCAACACCTTATTGGATTACTTTGATTTTAATGATACGTCATTAAAGTCAGGAAATTTATCTGGTGCACTGCAGGAAGTCTTGATGCAAATGGAAAGATTGTTGGCTAACTGTTCTCCTAAGACTTTATTAGGACTGTCACAATTGCTTGTATTTTGGTTTCATTTCCATATTACGGAAGATTGGGAAAGTATTAGGATTGTCTAGTTGGTGAGTCGTCCTGCATATATCCAAAGCTCTTTATATTATAAGTGTTTCAAACGTAGAAAATACTTTGCATAATTCGTTTGGGGAATATCAACATATTTAATTCCTGGTTTTGAATTATGTCTATTCAAATTCCTTTCATAGATTTTGTTTCAATTAATTTTATATTACTAGAATTGATTAATTAATAAGGAAGACATTATTTATATCAATTTCAAAATGATTTCGTTGTTAACGTTCCGTCGTTACTGGAAACTACCCACCCTGATTAAATATATTTTTTGAATCGCATAACTTTTAAGAAATTAACTATTTTATGTTTGATTTTTGCGATAGTAGATGAGAACGACGTTCCGATTAATTGCTCTTTACTCGCCATAAGTCATTGAAGTAACATTTGGAGACCCGTTACTCACGTCGCCTCCCTCTCCATCGGCACTGACGTTTCCATTCTGAGCTCCCAAGGAGACGGCAGGGACGATGGTATTCGCGTCCGCCAACGTAAATCAAGGAAATGTCAGCGGCCACCATGTTTATATTTTGTTTTACCTGCTGCACCGGCGTCGCCACATGGACATCTTGAGCAACCGACGGCGATTTCGAGCCTTTCCCAACGCCCAGGCCGCCGCGGCGCGGCGAAAGGCATATCGGCCGTTAATGCCTAAAGAGGAGGCGCTGGAAGAAGGCGACGCGACGGCGACTGATGGCTGGTTTTTTGGCCGCGCGGCCGCCGGCGGTGGCGGCGGCGGCGGCGGCGGCGGTGCCGGTGGCGCGCTCGCTGCTCCTCGTTGCTCATTAGGCAGCGGGTGTCAGGAGGCCGTGACGGACTGTTCGCGAGACGTCTGTGCCGTAATGGGGCCGTTCCACGTGCGCCACGACATTTCTCCCAGGCCGCAATGAATGGAGGCTCAGAGCAACCCGCGGCAGGTGACGTGCCACTGTTCTCCGCGCCAGTGTGGGAGGTCTCCATTGTTACGATGGCATTGTGACAAAAATATCTACACGCCGAAGCCACTCAATTAGATTTATAAAATTGAACTTCACATTCATTAGGTTGTACTTTCGCCACAGTTGGTAACGTTGATTCAAAATACGGCCTGAAATTATTTATTATTTATTTATTTATTTATTTAGAAAGACTAAATAAATTCAAAAAGTGCTTATAACGATTCGAACGATTACCACCTCCTTTCGCAAATCATTCTCGCGAAAGCGTGGCATTTGTGCAAACTTGTTCCTTATAATATAGAAGTCATAAGTCAGAGAAACAGGAATCACGCTCATGAAATATCTTCAAGAAAGAAATATAATTTGATTAGTCAATTTATCTACATTGTTATTATTAATGTTATGTTGTATATAATTAATTTGTTTCATTAAACACATGTCACCATACATATATCCTTTACTTTTTTCTATTCATCAATCTTGCTACTGCAATCTGGAAGTCCCTTCCTGCACACTCGCCACAAAGTCAAAATTGTAAAGAAAAGGTTTGCAGCCAAATCAAGCAAACGCGAAGGCGTCGCGGGCGCCTGGATAACGACGCCACTCGACGCGAAGCGATGCGACGCGAAACGAAGATGGCCCGACAACCCTGATGGAGAAATTCTTCTGGTAATACAATGATCTCGTACAATGATCTTGGATTGTGCATTTTGGCCACAACTCTAGATGCGTAGGAGTAGAAATGGAGTTGTGAAATAAAAAGTTGAGACCCCAGCTGCCTCTCTCAAGTCACTCTCAAGAATGGCGAAAAAAATTAGACAAGTGAAACCAACAACAAATGTCCAATATTAAGAACTTCTAAAATTTCATGTACTTTGACAACACACTGTGAAATGTTGTCTAGTAACCAGTTTTCAGATAGACGAAGAGAGTGAACTCAGAATATTTGGTTAATTGAAGTAGAAAAAGTATAAAGTAATAGAAATATAAAGAAAAGAGTTTAAACATGCAGATTCACATAGGTGACAAATGCAAACAATACAACAAAATATTTGGTCAATCGATGCTTTTATCTATAAAAATGTCAATTGATGTTTCTAAAAGGAGGATTTTCTATGTAGTGTGAGAGAAGTTATTTCTCTCTTTCTCAACGAAGGTTATCACTTTAAATCTCACTCGTTTAATGTGAGTTGTTTTTAAGCGTAAACGGAAATAGGTAAAGTTGGAAATAATAGTGTCAAAAATCATTTCTTCAAATTACAATAAAAACTTTCTTTTAAAATTTTTTCGGGCAGATTTTAATAAATAACAAAGTTATGAAACTTCATAACATACGAACACTTGTCGCCCACGCTCTTCACTACAAATGGAACATCATTCATGGTGACGTAGACCATTCATTGACATGATATCCAATGGTGTTGAATTCACCCAGAGTCTCTTGAATTAGTTTCAAACTTATGCACAATTCAATGGGGGAAAATGGACTATGGTTACACATCATCACTTTTCTCAAATACAAAACATACTCATGCCAGATATATTTTTACCGATTATGTAGTAGAAAGACAAGGAAAAGAAAAAAAGAGAAACTTCTGGAGATAAAGAGGAAGAAGATGTAGGAGGACACGGAGGACACAAAGACGCAGTAGGAGAGAGAGAAATAGACAAGGACGGACGTTGGGGCGCAGAGGAGAAGTAAATATAGGAGGAAAAGACTTAGGACAAGAAGAAGCCAGAAGAAGGAGAGGAGTAGGAAGCTGGCCGCAGAGAAGGAAGTGTAGGAGGAAGAGACGGAGAAGATGAATTCTCGGCTATCCGGGAGACGCCGCGTCGTTGGCTGGGGTGCCGACGTTTCGCCTGACATTTCGCAGGCTTCCTCAGGGCAGTGACGAAGCTTACGTATACAAGAGACGGAGAAGGGCAAGATGAAGCTGGAGGAGCAGACAGACGAGGTTGGAAGCTGGCCGCAGACATGTGTGGGAGTCGGTGGGAGCGGCAGCGCCCGCGGGCAGCGATGGAAGCGAGGGGGGGAGCCGGGTGGAGGAGGGGGAGGGGCGGCGGTAGCGGCGTGCCTTTCGGTCGCCAGGGAACCGGTCGCGGCGCGGCGCAGCGCGGCCGCGTGGGGCAACGGGCGCTGCAGCGTGCCGCAGACGCCGACGCCGTCTGCACTTCGCCCGCGCTCGCCCCAGCCGCGATTCGCACGGCTTCGTTTTCATCGCGCCACTCGGCTCGTCCGCCACCGACGCCCCTGCGACTTTCGCTGCCGACTGCGACCGCCACGTTGCGCTAACTGATGGCATCGAGGGGGGGGGCGGGGGCGTTTTGTGGAACACGATGGGAATCGTTGGCTCTTTCGTCTCCTTTCTTTTTTTCAGAGAGATTTGCAGAGCAGTGTGAAGCACTATTTCGTACATGATACGAATCCACATCTGAACCCCTACCAACTGCAACGCGGCCCATTTAAACAAGCTTATTTCCTGAGAAAAGGATTAATTATGCTTAATTCTCTTTTTCTTCGGTCCTTTATATTGCACTTTTGCTTATCTCTTATTTTGTATTGCACAAATTTGCTGCCAGATGTCACAAGAAGATAAAAGAAACTGCACTACGAACTATATTGCACACTATTATTATTATTACTATTATTATTACTATTATTATTACTATGATTATTAATTTTGTTATTACTATGATTATTGTTATTGTAATCAAACGCACCTCTCGCTTTCGATGAATATCGGTGTCATATTCAGCATTAATGGCATTGTGCTTGTTTTGTGCTCGCTACAGCCAGACGACGCAACACGCACCTCACAGCTGTCTGAGGTCGCTAACCGCCGAATGCGACGCTCGTAACCCATTCTCTCAGTGGGGGGTTCCTGTAAGTGTCACATTCTACTTCGTACTAATCTCTTCCCGCGGTAGCGCAGCACTTGTCTTCGAAGGGTGTAGATAGAGACATTGCTGACCACAAGCATCTATGCAATTATTTTACATTTAATTCATGCTTGCTTTCTAGTATTTAATAATAATAATAATAATAATAATAATAATAATAATAATAATAATAATAATAGTAACAGAAAAGTTACTTACACCTATGAACATTTTATATTGCATTGTTTTGAAAATGTTGTTCACCTACTTTCTTCTCAGCCATTTAAATAATTAGATACACTTGTTTACATCTAATCATATATTATATCCAATATTTTCAAATTTTTATTTTTTATTTTTTGATAGTTTATTTTTTTCAATTCCTTTAATTTTATCTACTATTTTCATAATTTTCACAACTTACATTCGTCAGGATTGACAAGAATAGAAAACACAGGACAGGGCGACGAGAATTTTTCTGACGAAAATATGCACTTTTCCGACTCACGATTACACAAATTTCACTTGTTATGAAGTACCTTCATAAGGGCGAGAAAGTAAAAGGTGAAAGGGTTCTAAGAAGTCAGCAATTTCTTTTCAGATATCTCTAAGTATTAGGTAAATTTCAACCCATTTTACCAATATCGCCTTCCAATTTTCACAATTTTGTTTCCCCCTGCACAACCCTTCCAGATTTCGCTCGTGAACCGGACCATTTGCCGATGCAACCGCTCCTTTCCGCTTTCTCCGCGTTCCCCGTATCTGTCGCAACGTCCGCCGCCGCCAGCGCCGCAGCGCAGCGGCTGAACTTTGCTTCCACGCAGCCACTGCCATTGGCGCAACTGGCGGCGAGCTGTGCGCCCTTCTCCGCAGCAAGTGCCTCCGAGGCCTTCCTTACTGCAAGGCTTGTTTACCTTCGGCGCCACACAGGAGGTGCGCTGTTGTGGTGACATCCTAGGAAACTAAGGAAGTGAGCATTGGCATTTCGTTCTCTAATACCGGCCTAGGGAGCTCAGGGCATCAGTTGATGTTACAGCAGTGCTTCTGTCCGGGAAGTCCAGGGGTTCCACTCCCCACGGTGGCACAATTTTCGACACTAGCTAGACAGCTAGGTTGAATTCAGCCGTTGTCTGGAGAATTCTTGCCGCCGACTGCTCTGATCGGTCTTTTTCCGTAGGTTCTCCGATCAACATCAGACGAATGCCGGAGCAGTACACTAACAAATGGGCCACGAACCGCGATATTTCTTTTTTCCTTGCCATTTTCTCACCCCCTTACTTACATACACGCTTACACATGCATTAAAAAGAGAATAAGTTGCATTTATTTCTTTATTTGAATTTAGTACATGCCGGTTTATCGCTGAGACATTGTACCGAATGATGTGATGTGGTCACATAAAACACAAAGACATTTACAAGTAGTACTACATACTAATTGAGGTTTTTTTGGTTTCCAATAGCAATTTTCTTTTCAATTCAATTTAAAACACAATACCTCGTACGGAAAAATTACGGGAAAATATTCTATGCATACTTCTAGCGACTCGAATCCCTCCGCCATCTCTTTCTTATCTTTGTTTGAAGATGTCTTTGATTGTTTGTTTGAAAAGATTTAATATTATATTAAATTAATATAAATTTACATTCAGAATATTTACCCGAAAGAGATTTTAAAAAAGTAAAACAACTTAAGAACCAATATCAATTCATCAGTTAATCACGTAATTTGTGAAAGGACGCTGGTGATTGCTAACATTTTCATCAAGAGGTGTTTTGATCACAGGGTGTTGCAGCGAATAATTGGTGCTAGTCTGCAGATGAATCTTCGGAGACTAGAAAGTCCCAAGTTCGAACCCAGAGATAACATTTTTTTACGACAGCTAAGAAGCGAATGAGTATACTAAATACCGAGTGCTCAGATCGTTTTAGTCCACAGTTTCCTTCGATGAATTCTGAGTGGATATCGGGGAAGTAACTTTCCCTCTTACTGGTCCTTAGAGTCCGGCGATGAGATGATTCTACATCCCAATTTGAACCATCCTCCATTATCTAGAAAGAATCTGCTACATCTCCCAGTATGTCATGTCAGGCCAAGTCTCGAGGTGAACTGCATCGCCGAAAAGAGAAAGATACTTTCATCAAACAAGTTGTATCCGCCACCGCCACCATCTCTCGCGACATCTGAGTTCTTTCCTGACAAACTGCGCTTCCTAATCCTAGCTACTACTGATCGTGACAACAATCTACTGGATGTAATGTCTTCGCCG